ATTTAGACACTGTTGTTGGAAAACATGCAGTAATTTATAAATGTTTTAAATCAGGTTGTTTCCGGATCCAGACTGCGGGCCGCTAATCCGTGACCTCTGCTTTCCAGTTTACATCCGACTGAACTTTTTTGTTATTTTATGACTAAATCTAATTCAGGTTGATCATAATGATTTGAACTCTGGAATAAAGAAAACATCCAGGTCGCTGCTTCTACTCTTAAACTTAATTTAGTTATTTCAGTTTGCCGCCGCAGCTAACGATCATTTTGTAAATCGATTAATCTCTAGAGGATTTTTTTCGATTAATCAATTAATAATCGGACAACAAAAGATTCTTTTTACTAAATCAAACCCGGTTAAACTAAAAGGTTTTCCACTTGAGGAATTTTGCCAAACTGACTGATGAGAATTATTTATTTTTTTCTTTTAAATCTTAAATGCAAAATCTTTATAAATTTCTTTAGAATATTGTTAAAATTCCTGCTCTAAGCGAGTCGCTCTTTCAGCTAAATGCGTGTTTTTGAGTTTCAATGCTCCAGTTAATGATTAATCGATTATTAGTTGACGATTATTTAAATAATTGATTAATCACCATTTATTGTTTCAATGTATTTATTGTTTTTCACTTATAAAAGTTTTCTTGGCTGTCATACATTATATCACCACATCTATATATTTGGATCACGTGCAGCCTGGAGCCGGACGCTCCGGAGGGCTTTACCGTATTAACTGGAGAAGCGGCGCAAGTGAAGTTAGACGCCACCGTCGGACAACATGCGGTAATTTATAAATGATTTAAATCAGGTTGGGTCCGGATTAGCCAGGAGGTGGTTCCGGATCCGGACCGTGGTCCACTAATCTGTGACCTCTGGACTAACTTATCATCTACGGTCAAAGGTTTACATTCAGCAGGGCATTAAGAGCAATCAGTAAACCCTTTAAGTCAAACACGTTTTTATTAACCTGGACTGACTGCAGCTGAACGGGACATTTAATAGGAGCCACTCATTTTTCTCTGAGATTAAACATTAAATAGGGTGAAATTAAAATGCTTTCAGGGTTAAAATGGAACAAAAGTAAAAGCTTTAAAAGTCAGATTGAATAACTTAGACTCGACTAGAAAGAAAGTTTTAGGGTAGTTATGACATTTCCTGCATGTTTCATTAATAATCTTCACAGTGACTGGAAAAAATCTATAACTAGATGAGTCATTTTTTTTTAAAATAAGTGCATTTGTTCTTGGCTGAGGAGAT